CTGTATATAGTGTCTCTGTACATAGTCTGTATATAGTGTCTCTGTACATAGTCTGTATATAGTCTCTCTGTACATAGTCTGTATATAGTCTCTCTGTACATAGTCTGTATATAGTGTCTCTGTACATAGTCTGTATATAGTCTCTCTGTACATAGTCTGTATATAGTCTCTCTGTACATAGTCTGTATATAGTGTCTCTGTACATAGTCTGTATATAGTGTCTCTGTACATAGTCTGTATATAGTGTCTCTGTACATAGTCTGTATATAGTCTCTCTGTACATAGTCTGTATATAGTGTCTCTGTACATAGTCTGTATATAGTGTCTCTGTACATAGTCTGTATATAGTGTCTCTGTACATAGTCTGTATATAGTCTCTCTGTACATAGTCTGTATATAGTGTCTCTGTACATAGTCTGTATATAGTGTCTCTGTACATAGTCTGTATATAGTGTCTCTGTACATAGTCTGTATATAGTCTCTCTGTACATAGTCTGTATATAGTGTCTCTGTACATAGTCTGTATATAGTGTCTCTGTACATAGTCTGTATATAGTGTCTCTGTACATAGTCTGTATATAGTCTCTCTGTACATAGTCTGTATATAGTGTCTCTGTACATAGTCTGTATATAGTGTCTCTGTACATAGTCTGTATATAGTCTCTCTGTACATAGTCTGTATATAGTGTCTCTGTACATAGTCTGTATATAGTGTCTCTGTACATAGTCTGTATATAGTGTCTCTGTACATAGTCTGTATATAGTGTCTCTGTACATAGTCTGTATATAGTCTCTCTGTACATAGTCTGTATATAGTCTCTCTGTACATAGTCTGTATATAGTGTCTCTGTACATAGTCTGTATATAGTGTCTCTGTACATAGTCTGTATATAGTGTCTCTGTACATAGTCTGTATATAGTCTCTCTGTACATAGTCTGTATATAGTGTCTCTGTACATAGTCTGTATATAGTGTCTCTGTACATAGTCTGTATATAGTGTCTCTGTACATAGTCTGTATATAGTCTCTCTGTACATAGTCTGTATATAGTGTCTCTGTACATAGTCTGTATATAGTGTCTCTGTACATAGTCTGTATATAGTGTCTCTGTACATAGTCTGTATATAGTCTCTCTGTACATAGTCTGTATATAGTGTCTCTGTACATAGTCTGTATATAGTGTCTCTGTACATAGTCTGTATATAGTGTCTCTCTGTACATAGTCTGTATATAGTGTCTCTGTACATAGTCTGTATATAGTGTCTCTGTACATAGTCTGTATATAGTGTCTCTGTACATAGTCTGTATATAGTGTCTCTGTACATAGTCTGTATATAGTCTCTCTGTACATAGTCTGTATATAGTCTCTCTGTACATAGTCTGTATATAGTGTCTCTGTACATAGTCTGTATATAGTGTCTCTGTACATAGTCTGTATATAGTGTCTCTGTACATAGTCTGTATATAGTGTCTCTGTACATAGTCTGTATATAGTGTCTCTGTACATAGTCTGTATATAGTCTCTCTGTACATAGTCTGTATATAGTGTCTCTGTACATAGTCTGTATATAGTGTCTCTGTACATAGTCTGTATATAGTCTCTCTGTACATAGTCTGTATATAGTCTCTCTGTATGTTTTTACTAACCTATGCTTAACACCAACCTGCAGGGGGTCTGCAGATGGAAATTAGCCTAAGGCTATAATCTGGCATATTTACATTTGTGAAAATGTTCATTAATATGTATTGTCCCTCCTTTTCAAATAAATAAATAAATACAATAAAATATACAGAGCCTCAGTCCTGGGTCTACAGCCTCAGTCCTGGCTCTACAGCCTCAGTCCTGGGTCTACAGCCTCAGTCCTGGGTCTACAGCCTCAGTCCTGGGTCTACAGCCTCAGTCCTGGGTCTACAGCCTCAGTCCTGGGTCTACAGCCTCAGTCCAGGGTCTACAGCCTCAGTCCTGGGTCTACAGCCTCAGTCCTGGGTCTACAGCCTCAGTCCTGGATCTACAGTCTCAGTCCTGGGTCTACAGCCTCAGTCCTGGATCTACAGCCTCAGTCCTGGGTCTACAGCCTCAGTCCTGGGTCTACTGCCTCAGTCCTGGGTCTACAGCCTCAGTCCTGGGTCTACAGCCTCAGTCCTGGGTCTACAGCCTCAGTCCTGGGTCTACAGCCTCAGTCCTGGGTCTACAGCCTCAGTCCTGGGTCTACAGCCTCAGTCCTGGGTCTACTGCCTCAGTCATGGATCTACAGCCTCAGTCCTGGGTCTACAGCCTCAGTCCTGGGTCTACAGCCTCAGTCCTGGGTCTACAGCCTCAGTCCTGGGTCTACAGCCTCAGTCCTGGGTCTACAGCCTCAGTCCTGGGTCTACAGCCTCAGTCCTGGGTCTACAGCCTCAGTCCTGGGTCTACAGCCTCAGTCCTGGGTCTACAGCCTCAGTCCTGGGTCTACAGCCTCAGTCCTGGGTCTACAGCCTCAGTCCTGGGTCTACAGCCTCAGTCCTGGGTCTACAGCCTCAGTCCTGGGTCTACAGCCTCAGTCCTGG